TGCAGACTGGCCGACGATACCGGGAACAACAGGCCCACAGTAGGCAGCGCCTCCCCGGGCCAAGCTCTGCCCACCCATCGCCCTCGCTGGGCGGGCGCTCTGACTTCTACCGAACCCCGAGCAGCCGTTAGCTGCATCCCTGGAGTTAGGGCCCGGGCTTCGGCCCTGCCCTTGTCCCTCTCCCGTCGCCAGGTGCCCCTGGTGTGCCCCTCCGCGTGGATGGTTGGTGATGTCTGTCTCCACCGCCCCCCCACGGAGGTCCCACCCGGGCTGGGCGGCCTGTCGGGATTACGTGTCCCCGCATCACAAAGGGGGGAGATCGTCCCCTGACGCGGCTGCCCCCAGGTGCCTTCCTCAGCCACGCTGGCGATGTTCATCCCCGCCAGTCTGGCTACTGTCACACTCAGTGCGGCGCCTCACCACGCTATGACAGGCGTGTGACTTGGGCCGGGCCCACAGGGTTCTCCACAGGGTTCTCCACAGGGTTCTCCACTTGGGTGGGCCCCGGGAGTCCCGCGGTCGCATCGGAGTGGTTCAGCCTTCCGTCTCACGCTGCGCTCCATCCGGGTTCCGTCCCAGCCGTTCAGGCAGGTCTACGCCGTCATCTCGGTTCTTGCTCAGCTCACCTGGCTGGTATACGCCGTTGGCACGGTCTTGGCCCGTTGCGCCCCGCTGGCGACTCGACCATCGTTTACCTCGCCTTCGCGACCACCACCAGGCGTGAGAGGGGTGTGGGCAGGAAGCTCACCTACGTTCTCGCCTTCACCGAGTGGTCCACGCCGCAGGGCGTACACCGAATTCCCTGGCATTTATTTGCTCAGGGCTGCACGATGCCTGAGCTTCCCTGGGCGCCCGTCAGCCAGTCAGCCCTCGCCTTGCTGCCCCAGCGGCCGCCTTGTGAGCTGGCCCGGCGGCCCGTTCCGCGCCCTGCAGCTAGTTAGGTTTGTTTCCGTGCCCCGGACAGCTTCCGACGCCGCCTGCACAGCGGGACCTTCCCTTCCCCGGGGCACGTCCCGACTGCCCCGACGGATGTGCCTGCCTTACCGCTCTGCCGTCGCCACCGACACTCTTCGGGCGCCAGCCATTGCGTGGCACCCAACGAGGAAGTCTGGCCCAGGCATATCACGACTTGCCTACCTCCCATCTGCGCCAACCCTACGGGGGGCCCCCCGGCGGGCCAACCTGTTTTCGCGCCTAATACCGCCTCGGGGGCGCCCAGCTGGGGATGCTGGCTCGCCCTTGGCCCCCGGGAGCCCCTTGCTCCTGGGACCCCGTTTGTGGCCTCTCGCCCTCCGGCGGAGTGCCGCCCCCTCGGCCCGCCTTAGGCGCTGCCCCGGGGTCTCAGGTGTCCCCTTCGCCCTGGCTGGAGAGAACCGTACTGCTAGCTACGCCACTGCAGCGGCGCACGCTGACTTCCTTGTCTGGCTCAGCTCTGTCCACGCACATTTTGCGACTGTCAGTCGCGCCCATCTCCATTGCCCACCGCTCACAGCTTACGCCCACTGCGACTGTCAGCCGCTTCCCACCGACTCCCTTCCCCCCACACTCACTGCTTACGTCCACTGCGACTGCCAGTTGCTTCCATCCGACTCCCGTATCCGACATTGCGACTGTCAGTCGCCGTTTCCCCCCCCAGCCGCGGCCACACATTGCGGCCGCTCCGGCCTCGTGCCTAATGCCGCCCCGCGAGCGCCCTGCGGGGGTGCCGGCCCTCCCCTGGCCCCCCTGCTCACTTTCACTCGGGCCTCTTGCGGCGCTGCGCCCTCGACGCCGTGTCGCACCCCCGGCGCCCGCCCCCGCGCCGCTGCGGGACCCCTCAGGCCCCCCCGTCGTCTCGTGCTCCACCAGGCCGGCTGGGGCTTGGCCGCTGACGCTGAACGTGCCGCCTCCGCTTGCCACGCTGCTCCTCGTCGCAGCCACAGCGGACCCTGCCTCGCAGCTACCAGCACGACTCCGCTGCCGCCGGCCCCCCCCCGGGCGGCGACGATGGTCGAGATCGTCGCAACTGGTGCTCGGCGGCACCGCTCTGGCGCGCGAGGCCACAGGGACAACCCCTCAGCCCTCCACGCCCTGACCAACGTCCTCGGTGAGTCCCTTCGCTTCTGTAGATAGGCTCTGCAGATGGGGCACCCTCGCACTGCGTTTGCCTCCCACGGTTTCCTCTCGCCGCCCCAACCTTGCGCATGAGGTCGCTGGGACCCCCCCCGACCCTGGGCGCCGGGCTGCAGCTTTTCCCCTCTCCGCGGCCACTCTGGGCGTCCTGAGGCTTGCTTGCTAGCCCCATCCATTTCGGGGTGCCCCTGGGGTGTCGGGCCTGCGACTCGCCCGTGGTCGCCGCCTCCGCCCGGTCGGGGTCGACGGACGCTCGGTCCTCCCCCACGTCGCCTCTCCCAGGGTCGGCTTGTACCCTTGGCTTGGGCGCCGCCGCCTCCAGCTCAGGACGTGGCCTTCTCCGCTGGCTCGTCGCCTCGCCGCCCCTGTGTTGCCATGACGTCGCTTCGCCTGCTCCCCCGCCATGGTGGCGTTTCCGTCGCTGGCACGCTCCCATTTCTGTCGATCCGGAACTCTTCCGTTGATCGCCTGCACGCCCGTTCGTCGTCCTCGTGTACGTGGACTTCATGAATTTCGTCGTTTTGGTGCTGCGCCTTGACCAGTTGTCCCCCCTGGTCCACCGCGTCTCTTGACCCGCAGCGTAGCTCGCTCCTGTGCGCTCTTGTGCGGAATGTAGGCCGCTGCTTGTGAGCTGCGTTTCTTGGCGGCGCCTGGCATCCCTGCGCGCTCGCGAACAGATGCGGAACCCCACCGTTCCTCCTGTTTGTTCATCCTCCGCTGTCCTCTCGTTGCCTCCCCCCCCGTTGTTGTGCAATTTAAATTGTAGCTGCTAGCTACGACTCTCGGCCGGCGTCCGGCGTTCCCTGTGCGCTCGCGATTAAAAAAGTAGCCCCGCCGGCCGCCAGCCCATCCAGAAACGATGTCCAGAGGAATTGCCTCGATCAGGGACATGGGCAGTACATAGAAGGGTCCCCCAGTGGAGGCCTTTTGAAGCGTCTTGGGGTCCTCTTGGCGGTCCATGGCACCTCTTAGAGCGTCTTGGGTGTCTTGGAGAGCTGCTTGGGGCCTCTTGGAGGCCTGTTGGGCGCCTGTTAACGCCTCCTGGGCGCCTCTTGGGGCCCTCTTGAAGCGCTCTTGGGAGCCTTGGGAACGCTCTTGGAGCTTTCCTGGGCCATCTTGGAAGCATCTTGAGGCTTCGGATGGCCGTCGAGATCGAAAAGGCGAAAACGCCAAAAACACCGATGTGCTGAAGGTTTTGGAGGGATTTTGGCCTCTTCGGGGCCTCCTGGGGGGGTTCTCTGGCCACTTGGAGCCGTCTTGGGGCGGTCTTCGGGCCTCTTGGAGCATCGCGGGAGCCATCTTGAGGCATCTTGGGATATCTTGACCCATCTTGGAGGTCATCTTGGGCTTCCCCAGGCGCTCTTGGAGTCATCTTAAGCAGTGCCCCCCCCCAGGAGGCCAACATGTGGCCGAAACCATAGTAAACAACACAATTACTTTAGGATTCTCGCCGAGGCCTCTTGGAGCGTCTTGGGTGCCTCTGGGGGGCCTCTTGGGACCTCTTGGGGGTCTCTTGGGAGCCTCTTCGGGGCATCCTGGGGGCCTCTTGGGGGCCTCTTGGGGCCTCCTGGCTACCTCTTGTGGCCCTCTTGGGGCACCCTTGGGAGCCCTGTTAGCGCTCGTGGGGCCATTTCGGAGGAGATCGATCAAAGAAGGGGGTGCCTCAAGCAGCGCCCCCCCCAAGGAGGCCAAAATGGGCCCACAACCTTAGTAGAACCAGTGATTTTGGCTTCCTCGCCGAGGCCGTTTTGGACGTTCCGGCGACTCGCGGAACGCTCTCCCCGAAGGGGAAGAAATTTGTGGAAAAGGAAACACCCTAAACCACCTACACCCTAAAGGGCTGGTGGGATTACGATGGAACGTGTCCTTGGGAGCGTACACTCAGGGTAATTTGCGATGGATCGCGGCCCTGTGAGCGCGAACCCAGCGTAACTTGTGACGGGCCGCGGCCTTGGGCGCGCGGACGCAGTGTAATTTACGAGGATTCGCGGCTTCGGGTCCAGCGCTTGATTTTGAGGAAATGGCGGGGGGGGCTGAAAAGCGCCCCCAGAGCACATGTTCCAATACAGGAGAAGAATTTTTGCGTGGTGTTGGGCCTCAGGGCCCCCAGTTCTCGCGTGGTGTAGGGCCTCTGGGTGGCTTCCCCGGGCAGGAGTTTTCGTGTGGTGTCAGGCCTTTGGGGGTTCCCCCTCCCAGGCGGGAGTTTTCGCGTGGTGTTAAGCCTCCGGGGGCTTCCATTCCCGGGCGGGAATTTCCGCGTGGCGCATGGTTCTGGGAAATTGTCGCGCGGTGTCGGGCCTCTGGGGGGGGGGCCCTCCCGGGCGAGAGTTTTCGCGTGGCGTTGGGCCTCCGAGGGCCTCCGAGAGGCGGGAAGTTTTGCGCGGAGGGGGCTTCCGGAGGCATCCCAGGCCGGGAGGTTTCGCGTGGTGTCGGGGCTCCGGGGGCCTTCCCTTCCCGGTGCGGGAGTTGGCGCGCCCGCTGGCGCGTCGCTTGGCGCGTTCCCTGTCACGCTCTGTGGCGCGTCCCCCTGGCACGTCGCACTGCGCGTCCCCTGGCACGTCCCCTGGCACGTTCCGTGGCGCGTCCCCCTGGCACGCCCCGCGTTGCGCCCTCTGGCACGTCCCGTGGCATGTCCCGCGGCGTGCCTCCTGGCGCGTCCCTTGGCGCGCCCCCGGTGCGGCGAGGCAGCGCAGCGCAGCACAACATAGCCCCTGGCACAGTATCGTCACCATCGATATCTTCAGCATTGCCACCGCTCATCGCCCAATTGAGGTGCTTTGAACCGTTTCCATGCTCTTCTACATCCATTTCCGGGTTCGTGGGTCGATCGTGATGCCACGCGACGTGGTTTGGACCCGTGGGCGTGGCGAGGGTGTCGCCCCCAACAGGCTGGGTTGAGGCCGTACGCGAGCCTGGTCAGCAGCGCCAGGAACCTCGACATCGGCGAGCGCGTGAGGGCCATCCAGGAGGACCGAAGCGGCGCCATGTTCCCAGAAAGGGCTCGGGCCCAGGGTTTTTTTCCCAACCATCCTGTGGTGTTGGGTCCTCGTTTTGAAGAGACGGTGCCCCGCGTCTCCTCTCCTTCCTTCCTCCTCCTTCGCCTCCTCCCCCTTCCCTCCTCCCTTCTCCCACTATCACGGCACACCCCTCACACGTTTCGTGGCCCCATAGGGAGCTCCACCGAAGGCCCCAGTGGCTGCGTTGGCATGGCGGCGCCGCACCCATTTCGGCACACCCCTCACACGTTTCGTGGCCCCATAGGGAGCTCCACCGAAGGCCCCAGTGACTGCGTTGGCATGGCAGCGCCGCACCCATTTCGGCACACCCCTCACACGCTTCGTGGCCCCATAGGGAGCTCAACCGAAGGCCCCAGTGGCTGCGTTGGCATGGCGGCGCCGCACCCATTTGGCACACCCCTCACACGTTTCGCGGCCCCATAGGGAGCTCCACCGAAGGCCCCAGTGGCTGCGTTGGCATGGCGGCGCCGCACCCAATTTGGCACACCCCTCACACGTTTCGTGGCCCCATAGGGAGCTCCACCGAAGGCCCCAGTGGCTGCGTTGGCATGGCGGCGCCGCACCCAATTTGGCACACCCCTCACACGTACCGTGGTCCCATAGGGAGCTCCACCGAAGGCTCCAGTGGCTGCGTTGGCATGGCGGCGCCGCACCCATTTCGGCACACCCCTCACATGTTTCGTGGCCGCATAGTTGGCATGGCGGCGCCGCACCCATTTCAGCACACCCCTCACACGTTTCGTGGCCCCATAGGGAGCTCCACGAAGGCCCCAGTGGCTGCGTTGGCATGGCGGCGCCGCACCCATTTCGGCACACCCCTCACACGTTTCGTGGCCCCATAGGGAGCTCCACCGAAGGCCCCAGTGGCTGCGCCCGCATGCGGCCACCCACCCATTCTGGCACACCCCTCACACGTTTCGTGGCCCCATAGGGAGCTCCACCGAAGGCCCCAGTGGCTGCGTTGGCATGCGGCCACCCCCCATTCTGGCACACCCCTCACACGTTTCGTGGCCCCATAGGGAGCTCCACCGAAGGCCCCAGTGGCTGCGTTGGCATGGCGGCGCCGCACCCATTTCGGCACACCCCTCACACGTTTCGTGGCCCCATAGGGAGCTCCACCGAAGGCCCCAGTGCTGCGTTGGCATGGCGGCGCCGCACCCATTTCGGCACACCCCTCACACGTTCGTGGCCCATAGGGAGCTCCACCGAAGGCCCCAGTGGCTGCGTTGGCATACGTCGGGCCCCATAGGGAGCTCCACCGACCCAGTGGCATGGCGGCGCCGCACCCATTTTGGCACCCCTCACACGTTTCGTGGCCCCATAGGGAGCTCCACCGAAGGCCCCAGTGGCTGCGTTGGCATGGCGGCGCCGCACCCATTTCGGCACATCCCTCACACGTTTCGTGGCCCCATAGGGAGCTCCACCGAAGGCCCCAGTGGCTGCGTTGGCATGGCGGCGCCGCACCCGATTTGGCACACCCCTCACACGTTTCGTGGCCCCATAGGGAGCCCCACCGAAGGCCCCAGTGGCTGCGTTGGCATGGCGGCGCCGCACCCATTTCGGCACACCCCTCACACGTTTCGGCCCCATAGGGAGCCCCACCGAAGGCCCCAGTGGTACCGCCGTCATGCGTCCCGTACGCCCAGGACAGCGTTTCGTGGCACGCCTTTCGTGGCCCCATAAGGAGCCCCACCGAAAGCGGCACCCACAAAGCGTGATTCACAATTGCATATGGTTGGGTCCTTCGTCAGGATAAGTTTATTTGATGTTTTGCCCCCGCCTCGACTTGAGGTAGGCCGGGGGAATGTTTCTGCGATCAATAAGGAGGCCAGGGTTGGCCGGCGGATCGTGGTTTGAGGATATCCGAGGAGAGAAATTTGTGTTTTGCATAATTAGTTGAAAGTGTCTCAAGCGAAACGATAGTTTTGCAGAGTTTTAGGGAGGTTCAAGCGAAACGCCTGTTTTCTAGTGTTCAGGTCGCTCAGGCAGATATCTGGCATGAGGATTAGTTGAGAGTGTCTCGAGCGAAGCGCTTGTTCTCATGTGTCAGGTCGCCTAGGCGGTTGTCTAGTATGAAGATGTGTTGGGGATATCTCGAGCGAAACAGTTGTTTCCACGTGCCCAGGTCGTTCAGGCGGGTGTCTACATGAGGATGTGTAGAGGACGTCTCGGTCGAGACGCTTGTTTTCACGTGTCCAGGTGGCCCAGGCGGATGTCTAGCATGAGGGGGCGTTGAAATGTCTCGAGCGAAGCGATTCTGTTCACGTGCCCAGCTCGCCCAGGCGGATGTCTAACATGCAGATGCGTTGAGAATGCCTCAAGCGAAACGGCTGTTCTCACGTGCCCAGATCGCCCAGGCGGATGTCTAACATCAGGAGTTCTTGCGGATGTCACGAGCGAGACGCTTGTTTTCACGTGTCCACGTCGCCCAGGCGGATATCTAGCGTCAGGATTTCTTGAGAGTGACTCGAGCGAAACGCTTGTCGCAGGAGAGTGCGTCGAAGCCCAGCCCCACCCGTCCGTTGGGCGTCCCCTGGCGCGCTGGCGCGTCCCCTGTGAGGCCGTCTCGTGCGCCGCGTGATTGCACGGTGTGCGCGTTGCAGAGCGTGGCCCGCTGTTAGCCCATTTGCCGCGGTGCTCGCACGAAGTGCCGTTGGACAAGCGTTTCTACGGCGCGTCAGTTGCTACGTTCTGGCGTGACTTGCCCTTGCACGTCCTCTAGCAGCACGCCCATCGGCGTCGCGCATTCCCTGGCTCGTTGTCTGTCGCGTTTCCCGGCTCGTCATAATTACGGTGTTTCCCTTGTCCGTTCCGTGGCGCGCCCCTTACCACGTAGCCTGGCATGACGTCCTTTGGCCCACCCCATGGCACGCGCTTTGGCACGTCCCGTGGCAGGTCCCTGACACGTCCAGGGCACGTCCCCTAATACTTCCCTTGACACGTTTTCATGGCGCATCCCTGCACATTCTGTGGCGCGTCCGTGAGCCTGTGCCCCGTGTCGTGTCGTCCCTTTGGGGAGCTGAGTTGGATTTCGAGCTCGAGTTGAATGAACGCCCCGCACGTTTCGACTTCAGCTGCATGCCTCTGGGCCAGCTACCATGTGCTCAGGCTGGTCGAGCTTGAGATCCAGATCAGTTCGGTCAGGACTCGGATGCTAAGGAGAGCTCGATCCGCAGCGCTATAGAGCACAATCGCGGCATGCCAAATCGCAATTCAGCACGGCACAGCACAGTACAGCCTTTGGCACAGTACATCAAGATCGATACGTTCAGCATTGCGATTGCCCGTCGCCCAATCAGGTGTCTTGAAAACGTTGCCATGCCTCACATTTCTGTAGTCCTTTCCCGGTTTGTGGGTCGATCATTTGTGGGCACGTCAACACGCCTTGGTTTCTGGGCGTCTCAGAAAAAGCCCCTGTGAAGACAAGGTACGGTATGACCGAGGTGTAAGTTCGAGGTCGGTTCGGGGAGGGTACCGTAATGTTCTCCGTGTTTGTTGGATATTCTTGTGCATCCTGGGTGAGGGCGCCTTCGAATGTTTTTCAGTTTTGGCCGGCGGAGGGTCTCATGTTCTTGAAGGACGTTATTCTGTCCTAGGTCTGGCCCTGGCTGAAGAAAGGAGCCCTGGAAGTTCTTCCCGTCCTGTGGCACCCGAGGCTCGTCCCCGGCCCCGCGGGACGGCAGCAAACGATTGCGGCATGGAAAGTTGGGCCCAGAGGGAACCAATGGGATGCATGGCCCGCGTTTTGGGCGTCTGGGGGCTGTTGTGCCAGCCAGGTAGGAAGAGTCTGTCTCAATCGCTCCAGGCCGTTCGGTTTCGTTCTGGGCTTCCCGCAGGGCCAGACAATTACACCCTCCAAGCCCGTCCGTTCCGTAGAGGTTCCCGATCCATCTTTGTCTGTTTTTGGGTTGGTTGTCCTGCGACCGTCTTACGCGTTCGGAACGAACAGCGACCCTCTAAAGAACAACATGTTCCTGGCACAGTGTCGCTGGCTACGGGGGCCCCGCGTACGTCGCGAAACACGCCATGACGCCGGAGGTCTCGGCCGACCGTGCCCAGGGCCCAGAGTCGGCGCGTGCGCCCAGGTGTGTCTCCCGCAGGATCTGGGGCAGGGATGTGTCCGTAACCGCCGCTCGGGGCATCGAACTGCGGGGAGCGGCAGCAGTGGACATGGATCTATTCGGGCCCTGGACGGGCCGACTATATATTCGTATCCACCGCCTGCCGAGGTCCACGCAGATCGATCCCCCAGGCGGTGGTTCTGGATATCGGCGGCGAGCCCAGGGGGAAAGTGAGGAGGAGAAGGCTTTCTCAGAAGGCTCGGAAGTTCCCCGGCCTTCGGAGAAGTTGTCCAGCCCTTCCCCGAAGACAGAAAACCTCTCAGAAGGCGGGCTTCTGAGAAGCTCCGCTGCCTTCCGAGAGGGCCTTCTCCCTCTCACCTCCCCCCCTCGCTCGCCGCCAAGGATAGATGACCGCCGCGGCGCGTGCCGCGAATCCCAGTGGCCCAGGCGCACCTTTCACTGGCTCCGAGTTCGCTGTGCTTTCGGCAACGGGGAGGGAGTGGGGGGCGTCCACGAGGGGGGTGTGGACCAGGGTTAGGGGTCCTTTGATACCATGGCCGGGCCATTCTATCTCCCAGATACCATTGTCCTTGCTTTTTTTGTTTTGTCTCCTTCTTCTTCCAGCTCGTCCCCTGCCCCCCTCGTCCGCGCACGTGCCTCGGGCCAAGGCTAACCCCCTATTTCCCTAGCCTCTCTCCTGCGCGCCCGAAAGAGATGGGGGTCGACCGAGTCCCCTTTTCCCTTCTCGGCATCATCATCACCGGCACCTCCATCGGCACCACCCCCCCACCAACGTGATACGCAGCACCGCCACTTTCATCGTCGCCAGCATCATCACCAATATCATCCGTGCTTCGGTGTGGACCGTCTGCGCGCCTCGTCTCCTTCGTTGTCGGCGTCGTCGGTGTCCTGGTGCACGTGCTCTGCCCAGAACTTCTTCCCCCCATCTGCAGTGACCACCACCACCATCATGAGCAGCACCACGCGGGGGAACCACCGCCATCACCAACACGACGAGCACCGCGTGGGGGTGGGGGAGCGGCGTCTGCACCGGCCGCGCGCCCGGCGGGGGCGGGCCCCATGCCAGTTGGGGTCTGCGCCGGTGGCCTGCATGTTGGCGATCTCTCGGCAGGAGGGCGGGTGGGCGGCCTTCCCGGGCAGCAACTGCTTCCTCAGGCGCGGCAGCGGCGAATTTGCCCCCTCCTCCCCCCAACTCCCCTCCCCCTCTCCCGCTCCGCCCTCCTCCTCCTCCTCCTCCTCCGCCTCCGCCTCCTTCTCCTATTCTCCTCCTCCTCCGCCTCCTCCTATTCTCCTACTCCTCCTCCTCCGCCTCCTCCTATTCTCCTCCTCCGCCTCCTCCTATTCTCCTCCTATTCTCCTCCTCCTATTATCCTCTTCCTCCTCCTCCTATTCTCCTCCTCCTATTTGTGATTCCCGCTCACTCCCCGTGCCCTTCCTGCTCCTTCCCTGCTTCCCCGCTCTATCTCTCACGCCCGCCTTGTCGCTGCCGTTTTGTTTCGAACTAGGGCCCTTGGCCTTAGAGCTACGCAGAGAGCTTCGCCGCGCGATTCCTCGACAAACGATATCAGCGATATCCATATATCACAGTGGTAGCTTGGAGCGAGGCTCGCTATCCCGGCCCGCGGGGCCGTACACCCAAGACGACGTCCGCGACGTCGCACTCCATACTGGAATCGAGGCCCAGCGGCCTCCTCGCGCTGTTGCTCAGCGCCAGCATCTACGCCAGCGTCAGCGACGCCAGCATCTACGCCAGCGTCAGCGACGCCAGCATCTACGCCAGCGTCAGCGACGCCAGCACCAACGCCAGCGTCAGCGACGCCAGCGACTACGCCTACTACGCCTACATCCCTGCCAGCTCCAACGCCAGCGTCAGCGACGCCAGCAACCCCATCTTCTTTCCCACCCTCAGCAGCGACGACAGCTACTTCTCCTACGCCTGTGTCAGCGACGCGGCATACTTCCTCTACGACGGTGTCAGCGACGCCACCCACTTCCTCTACGACGGTGTCAGCGACGCCACATACTTCTCCTACGACGGTGTCAGCGACGCCACATACTTCTCCTACTACGAAGGTGTCAGTGACGCCACAGACTTCTCCTACTACGAAGGTGTCAGCGACGCCACATACTTCTCCTACGACGGTGTCAGCGACGCCACATACTTCTTCTACGACGCTGTCAGCGACGCCACATACTTCACCTACGACGGTGTCAGCGACGCCACATACTTCACCTACGACGGTGTCGAGATGACGGAGTTCACACACAACCAGTCAGTGAGACCAAGCTGGAATGGAGATCCAGCGAAATGGCGAGATTACAAACAGGAGGTAAAATTGTGGAAGCTCAGTGAGAATCTGGAAGTGACACAAAGTTTGGCATCGAAGTTAGTCCTGCGTTTGACGGGTACAGCCAGGTCGGCCGCTCTCAATATGACGGAGCAGGAACTCCACCCGCCGCCGGACGACGGCATCGAGGATGCGAACGAGAAGAAGCGCGATCGCAACCAGAAGGGCATCGAGAACGTGCTAATGCACTTCGAGGCAAACCTAGGCCAGCAGAAGCCCGTGCAGAAGGGAGAGACGCTAGAAAAGCTCTTCGAGTCGACTCAGCACCATCGCCGCCGTGGAGAACGCATGACGGATTGGCTCGTGCGATTCGAGGCGGGACTACAGCAACTACGTGAGAACGAGGTTGACCTCACTACGCTTGACGACGTGGCCGGCTGGTTCCTGCTACGCAAGGCTGGGCTCACGGCCGAGCGCCGTGAGCGCGTCGTGGGCAACTTGCCGGACGAGCACTACTCATTTCAGCGCATCAGAGGCCTGCTGGTGCGCATGTTCCCCGATATCCACACATCTGAACGACGCGCAAGCTTGCCGTCGCGATCGTGGCCGCAGCGATCAAACAGTAGTTGGCAGCGCTCACCGCCAAGCCGAACACGTTCAGCCAACATCGCTGACGAGCCAGAAGACGAGCATGAGGACTCGGAGGACGGCGACGACAACGACACGGAGGCAGACGTCCAGGACATCGTGCGCCAGGAGCTCGAGGCCTTCAGCGCCGAGCTGGAGCAGTCCAATTACGACCTCGGCGAGGTGTTCGATCGGGACGACTCTGCCAAGGTGGAGGCTGCCGCGGCGGAGCTCGCCGCGATTCCCGAGGCCATGGCGACCATACGGTCGGCCCGGGAGGCTATCAAGGGCCGCGGGAAGGCTTCGCCCAAGCGCCGACCCGCGGGCAAGCTACGAGGCCGCGTGGACCAGCGCAAGAAGAACTCCAAGTGCTGGGACTGCGGCGAGGCGGGGCACTGGACCGGCGACAAGGAGTGCCCGACGCCAGGGGCTCGAAAGTGCGCCCCAAATACTAAGCAAAAGGGCGGAGGACGAGGCGGCGGAGGTCGCTCGCACCGCCAGGCCAACATCACCGAGCAGGTCCACGACCAGAATCACGTGGAGTTCGGTGACGAAGAAGTGATTCTTCACCCAGAAGGTCCGATTACTCCGCCCCCCGAGACTCTGGTCTCCGAGCGCGTGGTGCCAGATTTGCCCACCATAAACGCCACCAACGCTGGCGAGAAGCCCAACGACGACGGCGTCGGCGTGATCGACACTGCCTGTCTCTTCTGCGTTGGCGGGCTCAGCTGGTACAAGCAGTACAAGGAGAAGCTCACCAATATGGGTCTGGCCGACCAGATCCTGGAGGAGCCAGAGAACGAAGTTTACAGGTTCGGGAACGGCGGCACGCTCCCGAGCAAGCTGCGCGTCACAGCCCCACTTGTCCTGTGTGGACGCGCTGGTCGCATAATATTCAGCGTCGTGGACAGCCCCGCGCTCGGCCTGCTTATCGGTCGGGACTTCATTCAGCCGAGCAAGATCGACATCTCGCTCTGGCGGGAACAGATCCGCATCGGGAACCATTCCCAGAAGCTCATCACGAGCAGCGCAGGACATCCCGCGATCGACCTCCACCCGGAGGACTGGCTCGCCATCGCGGGCGCGGGCCACGAGTTTGGACCGAAGGGTGTTAGTACTAAGAGCATCGCCAAGCGGCCAGCCCCGAAGCCCACGGTCAACCTCACTACGAAGGCGAGCAACTTGCTCGAGAATATCACGAGACTCATTCCCAAGAAGGAGCTCAATGTACCGAGACGACTTCAACAGCGACGCGGCGGCAGCTCAAGGCTCATGGCCGCCGTAAGCTCTGCGTTGGCCTGCTGTTCGACGGCGGTCGCGCCGCCGACGTTTGCTCCAGCAATGATTTCGGCTGCTACCTGCATCGCCGAGCCCCTCGACGATTGCGTGGCCTGCGGCGCCAAGTCCTATACAGACTGTTGCCACCTCGGGTTCTGCTCCGAGTGTGTTTTCGGCAACTCGGTCACGCTGGACATCGAGAACGACAACGACCCGAAGGAGGTCAACCTCGTGGAGGAGGAGCAGATGAAGGTACGTCGGCTCAAGAAAGGGACAAGGCTGCAGCTGACCGCCGGCAAGCGGTCGGCCATTGTCACCAACAAGAGCGGCGTTAAGCCGCACACAGTCAGCCAGGCGCTCAAGGCTGACCTGGCCAAGTCAACTACGAGCTCGAGCGGAATCTCGAGCAACACCACCATCCTCTACGAGTGGTGCTGCAACCCCGACAGCAAGCTCAGTGCGAAGTGGATTGAGAGTGGAGGAGCTGCTGCACGTTGCGGTCTTCCTGGATACGACCTCTCTCGGAAGCCCATCGTCGAGAAGCTCGAGGACAGGATTCGGAAGAACCTGCGGAAGGGCCAGAGTGTACGGGTCCATGCCGCATTTCCATGCACGCCATGGACCGCGTTGCAGCGCATCATCCTGAAGATCGACCCCCGAAAGGCTGAGAAGCTGGAAAAGGACCGGAAGTATTCCGCCAGGATGATCGATCTTTTCCTGACGTCAATGAGCCGCCTGCGGAAGGAGTTTGGCAGCCAGCTCGCGGTCTCCTTCGAGTGGCCGCGCTACTGCGACGGCTGGGGTCAGAGGAAGAACTACACCGCGAAGAAGCTGAAGGATCAGCTCCCGCGCATCATCGATTTCGATGGCTGCGCTTACGGCCTTCAGACCAGGAACGGGGACGCGATCAAGAAGCCGTGGAGGATTATCACCGACCACTACGGGGTCGACAACTCGCTGCACAAGCTTTGCGACGGCCTACACAAACACGTCGAGGCCCGTGGCAAGCTCGCCAAGGACAGCGAGAACTACACCGATAAGCTCGTCGCCATGCTGGTCAAGCAGCTTCGCAAGACGAACATGATCGAGCACCGCGAGGCAAACCCCGCGGAACCAACGAGACGGAGAGCCGCGAGGAGGACAGTGCCTGCCCCGGCAGCCCCCGCAGTGCCAGCCTTGACGGCAGCGGAGGAGCGGACGCTCAAGTCCGCCATACTGCAGCCCCACGTCAACACGGGGCACCCTGCCAACGACGCGCTGGCACGGGCCATCCGAGTGACGGGTGGATCCCAAAGAGCGGTCGAGATGGCACTCAACCTGCACTGCGAAGTCTGCGCCGCCCATCGGCGACCCCTACCTCATCTACCTGGGAGAATCAAGCTAGATAGGGACTTCAATGATTCCATTGGAGTGGACTTGTTCACTCTCGCCGACTACGCCGGCAATCAGCTGGTTTTTCTCAATGTGGTCGACCTCGCTTCTGGATTTACATTATGTGGTACAGTCTCTTCAAGACACCCCTCGGTTGTATTCGCGAGGCTTTTGCAGATTTGGATTACACCGTTTGGGGCACCACAACGGGTACTTTTCGATGGAGGAGGCGAGTTTGAGAGGGAGTTCTCAAAGGAACTCGAGGACATGGGCCGTCGCCTTATGACTACTGCCGCGGCTACGCCGCAACAGAACGCCACCGTGGAAAGGCACGGCGGCATGTGGAAGGTCCACGCCAGGAAGCTGATCGATCAGTTCAGCATCAGGTTCGATCAGCCCGCGAACGCCCACAAGATCCAGTGGCTGCTCGCCGCTGTCTGCTGGGCTATGAATAGCTCAATCAATGCCAGTGGGTATTCACCGGCACAGTGGGTACTCGGACGTGGACTTCAACTACCCTGTTGCCTGCTGGATAGCGCTGGGAGACTCTCGCTACACGAGAGAGTGGTCTCTGACAAGTCCTTCTCTGAGAGGATTGCCCTCATGAAGGCCGCCCAGACGTCAATCCAGCATCTGCGTTTCAACCAGTCCCTATCCCGGGCCTTACTCGCACGATCGCGCGCGGATGGAGCTCAGCACGCGTCGGATATCTATCAAACGGGGGACCAGATATACTACTGGAGGGGGAACGGCAAGCCTAAGCGCGAATGGGCTTTGCAGTGGCATGGACCCGGCATCATCATTGGTTTCGAGGGCACCTCGAACGTATGGGTCAGCCATCGTTCCACCACCGTCAAGGTCAACCGAGGACACTTACGCCACGCTACTGCCTCAGAGCTCGTGCCCTGGGGACAGGTACTCAACGCCATGAACGGCAATCAGCCACCACCACCGCCAGGACAACCACCAGCTGACCAGCCCCCACCTCCTGACGGACCACAGCCACCGGGACCAGGAGGAGGGGACGAAGGATCACCACATGAAGAAGGAGACTGCGGTGGAGGCGGATTACCACCATCAGATCAAGGAGGAGATGGAGATACAGTCATCGACCTCACGGGCGAAACGCTGAAGAAACGCCCGCGAGTGGACAACGCTCCGCCAGCACTACCACCTCCGGTACCGGCCATCAAGCAGCACAACTTCGGCAACATCGAGGATACTCCACGCAATCGCCGCGCCCATGCTACTCTTGAGTGGATTCGCCGACGGCAAGGAGATGGAGAATATACGACCAGTGGGGGCGCCTCAGGCAGCGGTTCAGCACCAGCACCTTCGGGAGGAGATCTTCTGCCAGCGCCTCCAGCGCCTGTTGCTGACTCAGCTGCTGCCGCTGACCCCGCTCATGACCCCGCCCATGACCCTGCTCATGCCCAAATACAAGCCCAAGAAGACCCAGATCACGCTGAAGATCCAGCTCCAGAGCCCATCGTGCAACCAGAAGTACATGACGAACAGCCTGAAGAACGCGATGGAACACGACTTCCAACACCAGGAGCTCGACGCACAGAAGTTGATGGACATTCATCGGATGCCGACAGCTCCGGATCCGAAGGTCTACGCGACTGGAGCAAGGCCGCGGAGGAGGAAGTTCGCAAGGAAGCCTTTGCCCGCAGACCACAACATCCTGAAGGACAACGCGGCAACAAGGCTCAGCGCCAAGCTCAACAAGAGGACGCACCTCGCGCCCTCGAACGTGACAGGCATGATCAAACAGACGACCGCAGCAAAGCCATTAAGCGCAAGGAATTCTTGGAGAGTCTCAAGGACGACCTACCCAAGTGCTTCAAGAGGCCGAAAGACACACTCAGGAACGACCTCTACTTGGACAACTATTTTGAGATCAACGACGACGATTCGCATTCGACCATCCGACTCCGGGAGGCGATGCTCACCGGAAAGGCCGCTGCTAAGGAGATCTGGTACGACAAGCTCTCCGCCAAGGACAAGAAGCTCATGGACATGGCCATGAAGGTTGAGTGGTCCAAGTGGACCGAGTTCGGGGCCTACAAGAAGCTACCGCCCAAGGAGTTGAAGGAGATCGTCCAGCGACACCCTGGAATACGACCAGTTGGTACCCGCTGGGTGCTCACGCAGAAGGCCGCCAACCTCATGAAGGCCCGCCTTGTCGTCCAGGGCTGTCAAGAGGACAAGTCCCAGATCCGCACGGACGCGCCGACCGGGTCAAGGGACGCGCTTTACCTCACGCTTGCTGTCGCCGCCCAGCTTGGCTGGGACCTCACGTCGTGCGACGCGATGACGGCTTACCTGCAGTCGGGCAACATCGAGAGGCTGCTATTGCTGCGCATGCCAGCCAAGAACCCGCCGCCAGGTACATTGCCCGGCGAGACCGCGATGGCGACTGGCGCCATCTATGGCACCCGGGATGCCGGACGCCAGTGGTACCTCTACGCCCAAAAGGCGTTCCAGGAGCACGGCCTCATCGAGAGCAAGCTCGAGAAGGGCTCTTACTACTTCTACGACGACAAAGGGCTCGTTGCTATGATCCACTCCCATGTGGATGATTTCCTCATCGCCCAGCGCGGAAGCTCCAGCGAGTGGAAGCGAGTCATTAGCTCCTTGCAGAAAAGGCTGCACCTCAAGAAGGTAGAGGGTATCATCAAGTACTGCGGCCGGACAATCAACAAGACCAACGAGGAGTTCCGCATTGCCCAGGCGACGGCCGCCGCCCAGGTGGATTTCATCGAACTCAACGCCCAACGCGGACGATCACCAGAGGATCGTCTTACCACCTCGGAGGTCTCAGAATATCGCCACACACTCGGCCATTTGCTTTGGCTCGCAGTACAGACGCGAGTGGACATCGCCTGCCCGGTGAGCCTTGCGGCTCGCCGCACCAACACCGCCACCGTGGCCGACGCCAAGACGCTGAACAAGACCGTCGCTTACGTGCACGGGTCCGCCGATTTCGCCATAGTCATCAAACGCAACATCATCGACCTGCGCACTTGCACCATCGTCTGTTTCAGCGACGCGGCCTTCGCCAATGTGGACGGGGTGAGGAGCCAGTGGGGCATGGCGATCGGGCTAACCCACAAGCCACGGGACGTCGTGGCTGGACGATATGACTTGTGCCTGCCTGTGGCCTGGCATTCGGGCACGGTCAAGCGATCCGTGAAGTCGACGCTGGCCGCCGAGGGCTACGCCACTCTGGAGGGCGCCGAGTCGAGCACGTGGTTCGGCCAGCTACTTACGGAGGCCTACAACCCGAAGAAGACGCTCAAGCAGATCGACGACCTCAGCACCAAACGATCCGGGGAGATCTATAGCGACAGCAACGGCCTGGTGACGCACATCAAGTCTGACGTGGGTCAATCCACGGACAAGCGGTTCCGCATCGTGGCATCAATGATCAAGGAGACGGTGCACCCCAACAGCCAGCTGAAGCTCTCGTGGATACCTACGTGGAGTATGGTCGCCGACGCGCTCACCAAGATCATGGAGACCGGAGTGCTCCTCGCTTTCTTCGGGGCCAAGAAGTACAACTTTGGCACTAGGCAACCGCGCGCCGCCATGCTTGCCTCAGTGCTGATGACATGTCTCGGACGCGTGAAGGCACAGCATCCCCCACAGGAATGGCAAGTGCCGATGTCACATTGGATCTATTACATGACATTAATTGCGATGCTCAGTGGGATCATGATTGGATTTACATTGTTCGCAGCGCTGTGGTTTGTGGTGCGAAAGGAGATATTTGGGCCAGGTGACCCCAATCTCATCCAGATCGGGACCATCAACAACACCAGCAATGGGTCCAAGGCCGACCACACCGGGCACGCGGACACTCCATTGCCCGGAGTATATCCAGGATGGGATGGACGATACCTTGGACGTCGTAACAACGTACAGCCTACCATTCCCGAGGACGTCGACGGAGATGTCTACATGGAGCCGCCGATGATTGCCGTCGCAGCCCAGAGTTCATCATCAGCAAGCGGATCGGCAGCGCCAGCCGCACCGCCCCCATCACCGGACAGCTTCGCGCAGGGAGCGAGCTCGGCGCCATCATCCCCGATGACGGTTCACAGTTCCTCGTCAGCCAGCGTGGTTTCGTGGAACGGATCGACGCCAACGGTTCCGCCATCAGAGATGAACGCATGCGTGGCCGCCGAGCACAACATACGTGTGGGACACAACACACATAGTGTCTACATCACCTGCAGGACGTGCAGGAAGCAAGCGTCATGGCTTCGCAGGAATCATATGACCCATGAGCCAGATTTTTCGAGGATGCACAATAGTCTGCGCTGGGATTTACAGAATAGATGGAGGCAGCTACAAGGACTGCCCGGCAAGGCGAAAGCTCAAAAGAAGATTTCGTGACGCACGCCGTCGCTCTATATTTGGCGCCACATCCTGTGGCAGATTACGTTAGTCCGCATCGTTCTGTCAGCACGTTTTCTTTACACCTGGAGCCACATCGTGTGGCAGACTACGTTAGTCCGAATTGTCTTACCAGCTCGTTTTCTTTACATTTGGCGCCACATACTGTGGCAGATTACGCTAGTCCGCATTGTTCGAAGCTTTATTCAGTGTGCACAGGTTTTCTTTTATGTGGTGACGACCACACTATTGAGATTTTATCTTGATAAGATAGCGCTATTTGAGTTTTGTCGCATAGCGATCGGACTCGCGCCGCTGTTTGCTTTGAGAATTTATGTATTTCTTGCCGGTGCGTGTAGCAGCACCCGTTAAATGCCCTGGGGCAGCCAGATAGCATGCCGACAAGGCCGTTTGCCTGTGTTTGTTTTGGAGCGCTCTGATTAATGAAGTGAGCTGCGATTGATCGTCGCTCGACGGCGCCGCGAGCGTCAATCAGGAGGAGTGTGATTCCCGCTCACTCCCCGTGCCCTTCCTGCTCCTTCCCTGCTTCCCCGCTCTATCTCTCACGCCCGCCTTGTCGCTGCCGTTTTGTTTCGAACTAGGGCCCTTGGCCTTAGAGCTACGCGGAGAGTTTCGCCGCGCGATTCCTCGACAAACGATATCAGCGATATCCATATATCACACTATTCTCCTCCTCCTCCTCCTCCTCCTCCGCCGCCTTCTCCTCCTCCTCCTCCTCCTCCTCCTCCTCCTCCACTTCCTCCTCCTCCTCCATTTCCCCCCTCCTCCTCCTCCTCTCCTCCTCCTCCTCCTCCTCCTCCTCCGCCGCCTCCTCCTCCTCCCCCTACCCTCTTCCCCATCCCCTCCACCCTTCTCCATCTCTCCTCCTCCCTCCCCTAGAGCATTCCAGTGCGCAGGCACATTCGAGCCACAATTTCGAGGCGGTTACAGGGGGCCCAAGAAGGTTTCAAACATTCAGACATACTGATATTCCTCCTCCTCCTCCTCCTCCTCCGCCCCATCCTCTCCCTCTCCTCCTCCTCTTCCTCCTCCTCCTCCTTCTCCTTCTCTTCCTCCTTCCGCCCGATATCATGCCAGTCTTGGCACCTGTAACAGCCTGGGGAAGGGCTCTCCTGCGGAGGCACGGCAGCCGCGAGTTCCCAGATGGCAGCTCTGGGGAAGGCGACGGCGCCCAGATCCCCCTGGACGAGTGCTTATCCCAGTGCGAGGGCAACGAGGACTGCGAAGGCATCAGAAACCGCTGTATCTAGTATTCAGTTTGCGCTCGCTGGGGACCCGTTCTGGGTCTCGGGATAGCAGCTGATGTATGGGATCCACGTTACTTCCAGGGAAAATGGCCGAAGTCTCTGCACCCGCGGGCTCAAAAACGGTGCATCAGAAGCCTGGGGTCCCAGACCTCGGCGTCGTGGCAAAGATCATAGCGGCCGTTGCTTTATGAGTTTGCGCCTCTTGGAGACCTGATCTGGGGCAAACCAACAAACCGCACCCACGACGAGCCGCTGTCCTGCGGAGGGGCTCGAGGGCTCCCCAGGGATCACAATGGGCAAGCAAAGCGAGACATCGGAGTGTTGGGTCTAGTGCCATCCTCATGTCGCGCCGTTCCTTCTTCCAGGCACATTTCCGCTACATGCATGTGCCTGTAAAGTGAGCTTTGCAAACGCGGCGAGCGTTTGATTATGGTGCAACCATGATGCTCGATTGTTTTTGCAATTTCGGGTGCGTCGGCACGACATGGGGAGGGGTATAGAGGGATTCGGTATGTCATCAATTGGCCCGCGAGGACTGCGACGGGGTCACGGTGGAAAACAACAGGGATTTCACCATGTGCACCCTGCTCGCCCGGGTCAATTTGCCCGACTGCTACGATGACGAGCAGTACGCCGTCTGGGTGCGGGGTTCCATTTTTCAGAAAGTCGACAAGTTCGCGGACGGGTGGACGCTCCACATCAACACGAATTGCTTCGAGGGCCGCGGTTCGCAGGAATTCCCCGTCGGGAACGAGTTCCACGACGAGTCCACCGTCGCCCTCAACGAGTGTCTCCTCCGCTGCGAGGAGCACGGGCCAGCGCGCACACCGCGCAAACGGGGGGGACGAAGGGGACGGGAACGGGGGGGGAGAGGAGGGGAGGAGGGAGAGGAGATGAGGTGCAGGAAATGGGGGGAAGTAAGGAGGAGGGGGAGGGCAGGGGAGAAGGAGGAAAATGGGGAGGTGTAGAAATCATCCTTCCCGCGCCGAGGGGAATGCACTATGGTTTGCCGAATGCGCTCCAGATTGTTCAACATGCGTGTGAAATGCAAATGGTGCTTGGCTCGAGTCTTAATTGCCCGCAGGAACAAAGGCTCATATTACAAGTCCATGGCAGCGGTGCCCGTGGTTCACCCCGCGGTTGCCAGCGCGCGTGGCTAAGTCCGCGGAGCACATCGTTTCCTCATAACGGGTGTGGCGGCAACCGCAACGGCTCGGCCGAACTCGGGCGCAGCCGACCCAGGTTTCGATGTGACGCTATCCTGTGCCCGACAAGCTTGGTACAACCTGGGCACGAACCGAGCCGCGAAATTGTGCGCTGGTGGTTACGAAAACGGAAGTTGCAGGTATGTTAGCACAGACCTCTTGGCCAATCATGAAAGGACGAAATCGTTATTCGAGCGCAGTGCTACGCTAGGCATTACAACGGTTGACCGCGATGGAGATTCCGCAATGTTGCATATGAGCTACACAAAGGGTGCTCTTCGGGAGTGAGCCATCAGCCGCCGCATGTGCTGCGAGAGGCAGCGCAACAACTTGAAACGACAGGTCATGTCAGAATTCCTGCCTCCATCGAGTGCTTCTGAGCATGTTGCCCAGATCGCGGAAGCCAAACAGTCGATAGGAAACGCCATGGCTGAAGGAGGTCGACGCAAGCTCGCAAACGAGCACAATGAGGTTCAATGTTTCAACGCGCTTCGGCTTCACTGGACCCAATTCGGCAAATGGAGCGAGACCCTGTGGACAACGCTCGCCCAAGTGAAGTATGACAATCGGAACGCGCCGACTTTTCATAAACAAAACGACGACGCAAAAGGGACAGTGAACCGAAGGCGACTGCGCCAATCTGGACGAGGACCTCTGGCATTTGTTGGGTGACAAGTTCGAGGGGGCGGGTTCCCGCGGAAAGTTGGAAATATATTTCTACCGAAAATGGCGGCTAGATGGCCGACCAAGAGATATACACAATGGAGATCGTTGGTAGAGCTGGAGAAATGAGCGGATCTGCAAAGTCGTTTCGCTGAGGGGTAGCATGAACATATGTGTATATATACATACACACGACTTGCGACGTGATGGCTACAGGATGCCAGAAATCGTTTTTCCCTTGCACCTACCAACAACCCCTCATCCAGTTTGACGAATGGGCAAGACAGGCAATATTGGATAGCCACACGGGAAACACATGTCTACGGTAAGCGGCCGAGTTAATGAAGAAGATATTGGTGATTGGGGCTAATGTGATACTGGTTCTGGCTCGCGTGACGAAATCGGGAACTGGTGGATGTCGAACGTGGAGGACATGCGCGGAAACGGCGACAAGCATGAGCGGTCAAACGCAGTGACCAAATCAATGAATGGCCCACATGTTACAAGTGCGGAGGACATGGGCACCGCCAGCGGCTGCCTCACTGAAGGAGCCGCGCGAGGAACATTCTCTAGCAAATCATATTACAAAGGAGTCACGTGCTTCCTCGGGGCGCAGGCGGGAGGATGCAAGGGGGCGGCATCATGGCACCATGGGTTGCTCGGGGGGCCGCGCAATGGGAGGCCGCGACGGCGGCCCCGTGGGGGGGCGCAAGGAGGGCCGAGCCCCAGGCTGGAAAGGAGGAGGCAAGGGGGGACACGCTCCGATCGGCGGGAGGGGGCGTTGGGCGCGCGGCGGAAATGGGCGCGGCGTAGCCTTCTGACCCAGGAAGGCCCGCGAGGTTGCACTGGGCCACGGGGGTGGCCAGGAGGCCCGGGGAGAGGCGCGCGGATGTCGGGGCAGCTTCGTCCGGGGCCAGGGCGCCGCGGCCTCGAGATGGGCGAGGGCGCCGACCAAGGAGGAGTCGTCGATGGACCGGGAATATTGGAGCTACCCCGAGGCGCGCCGGAGTGGGCGGAGGTCGCCGCCCCAGGCGACGAAGAGGAGGGGCGGGGGGGCGCGGCCAGTGGTCATGAGGCAGCGCGCTTCGCGCGGCGCAGCGTAAATTGCAATCGCGGCACCAGCTCGGGCAACACATTTTCGGAGCGCGACAAGCAGGACATGTGTTTGATGCAGCAGTCCGCCGAGCTACAGTTAGCGAAGACGGAGGGCCCTGGCAGTCAAGCCGAAGCACCATTCAGAGGTAAGGAAGCAGGGTGGAGACGCTCGTCGCTGCTGAGGCTTCAATGGCCCGCGGCGCCGTTGGACGTCCAGGCGCGGGAACTGGCGCCCCGGTCAAACCCGCGGAGGGCCCCCGAGGATTCGCGAGGATTGCGCGTGACCTGGGGCCCAGCGAAGCAGGAGGTGAATCACGTGATGCAAATCAGTTGCCCTCTTGAAGCTGGCGCCCCGGCTGCGTTGGAGCGATGCCCGAGATGGCTTCGCCCGCGAAGAAGTTGCGACAGAAGTCGCGGGCGCCAGGGCGAGGCGCGCCAGTGATCTCACGTAGCGTCGCGGGGCTAGTCGGGAAAAAAAGGAGGGGGGCAGCGATGGGGGAGGCCCGAAGGGGCTGGGGCATCGCCGCGCGCTGCCGGGACACAGCGATGATACGGGGCCGATCTCGATTCAAAGGTGTCTTTCGCCCGCGCTCGGTCAAGGTTCCACGCGTCGGCCGCGACGGTGCGATCTTCGAATGCGATGGGGCGCGGGGCCCGGGGGAGCTCGCGGGCCCTCTCGCGATCTTTGCACGGGGCTCGAAGTCGGCCCTGTCGGAGACCCCCCGGCAAGCGGCGAAGTCGCAGGGGCGTCCAGAAAGAAGCCGCGCTAGGACGCCTAAGACTTGCTTTTTTTGGCAAGAACGCGCGCTGATGCCATGGTCGGTGGCCTGCGCGCTGTCGACGGCCCCGCTGCAGACGCCGACGGCAGGGCGGCCCCCGACGCGCGCCGAGGGCGGCGATTCAACCGTCCCGTGCCCGTGCTTGGAGAGCGCATCGCGCGTCTGCAAGCTCAAATTGCGCGCGGAGGCAAAGACCGCGAGGCAAGGTTGGGGGGCGGTGTCTTCTTGGAAGCACACGAGGGGCAATTCAAGAACTAACCGGCGGCGCCCCCGAGGGCGTCGACAAGTCTCGCGGGTTCAGGCGCAAGAGGAAACGGGGCAGGGCAGCGATAGGTTTACCCGGGCATTTAGAGCCCAGGGCGCTCGGGGTGGAAGTCTGCCCCGAGTGACCTCGCTTACGTTGGCGCCCAGCCGAGAGTCGGCCGCCGTCGCCGCGCCGGCTGCGATGGGAGGCGCTGCGGCGAAGAAATCGGAATGCAGAGTTTTAAAATACATAGTCATCGATTGGCTGGAATGGCCAGGGTGACCCGCGCGCTCGGTAGGGATCGGCGGCGGCCCCGACGGGGGCAGAGCCCGACAGCGCCGCGAAGCCTGCGCGAACCCGCGCGCGCCTAGAGACATTGGGCCTAGAGCCTCCGAGAGATAGTGCACTGGGGGGCGAGCACTGGCGAGATGGATGCACTATCCGGCGATGGGAGAGATGGAGGCGAAAGTGCGCCGCGAGGACTTTGGGCTGGATTGACAAAGTTCCGCGATATCTCTGGCGGCGACGACGACGAGCGCCCGGCGGGCGTCGCGCCCCCTGGCCCCCAGGGTCGGCGGCCTCAGAGCGAGAGGCAGAGGCTTTTGGAGGCGATGAGAGCGCTAGAGAAGGTGGGGGCGAAGGGAACGAGGGCCCAGAGCTGCCATCAGCGGACGCGTGACTGCGCGAGGTTTTGAGTCGGTCGCGAAGCTTTGAGTCGGTCGGGCCATAAAGAGCGAGGGCCATGCTGGGCCACGGTTCTGCGCGCCTCCAGTTTGCGTTGGAGCTGCGCTACTTCAAGGGGGGCAATTGGTCATGCCTTCTACGGGCATCCTACAGTGGCTTCAAGCTGGACGACGACGCCAATTGAGATTATGTTGAAGCGCGAAGGCGCGCTGGCGCGCCGAAGTGACATGCGCTGCCGCGACTTGATACAGGTCGCCAGCGGAGAGGAAGCGCCGGCGATGCAAAGCAACCCGCGCGACCCATTGCGAACGGCCGCGGCGCCGGACGGGCCGTCGACGTGAAGCGCCGAGGTCAGCGGCGACGCGTTGAATTATTTCGGGCGGGCGGGGCGAACGCGGCAGGCATCGGAGTCGACGCGCTGCGCCGGGGCGCCCCCCTGCAATTGGGGGGGGTGCTCATTTGATCCCTGACATTGGCATTGGCGACGGGGAGGTGCCACCGTGTGCTTCTTAACTTGATAACGGCGAGAGTGGCGAGCGGTGCCTGGGGATTGATGGACTTCATTGGCCAACAACGTCGATCGCGATGCTTTCGAAGGAGACATCAATTAGCCATTCGAAATTAGATCTGGCCCAGGGTCTGATCAGGAAGCATGACCCGAAGCCACTCTGGAAATTCAGCCGAATCGTCGAATGGGTCCAGGATGGGCAGGAGGCGGATCATCGGCGGTGTAGTCGAAGAGTTCGGCCTGGAGCAGTACGAAGTGGAGGTAGAGATGGTAGGTGAATAGCAGCCTTGCGGGAAACAGATGAGGGGGCCCTTCCGCGCCAGGAAGTCGAGCAATATTTTTAGCGCTCGTGGCCAGGGCAAAGGTCCTGGCGCAGGGCCGTTCGTCAATGTAGTTCTCCGTCAGGAAACTCGCGCGTTCTGCGTCGGTCCCGGCCCGATGTGGCATTGGCAAGTCTTGCGACATGAGGGAAGTATTTCAAGAACCAGGATAGTTGCGGGCACTTTCATGTGCGTCGAGAAGTGCCTCGGGAGTCATTGCGCGGACAGGCGCCGACAAAGCAGGACGTGAGAAACACCGGACATGAACGAGCGGAGGTCGAGTAATGGGATGTTGCATTTTGGCACTG